GTGACGTACTGTAAATTTATTGTCTATAGGGAAAATTGAATTGCAAACCCAAATTGTGAATGCGAAATGTTCAATGAAATGTTCAATGGCGTCTTTAAAATGTTCACAAGGATTATAATCTAATAAAATATTTAATATGATATTTTTTTTTCTAATTTCCGATGTATAATGAGTAATAGATTCTTAAATCTTTCATAATTTGGTAGGTTTTTTTTTTTTTTAGATTTTATTTTATTTTATTATTATCTTATTCCTGTGTGTTGTTTTAAAAATTGTAAGAATCTTATCATATATAATTTGTCAATCAAATAATTCACCTTTCTTCATATTGTCTTCAACTATACATCATACTGAAATAAATGAGTTGGAATTTATATAAAAATAAGTACACTACAGTCTTTAATGATTCATAATTATCATCTGATTTTTTTCCTTTACATACAGAATAAGTTGTAACTTTATCTATGATTCTGTCTGTTACGAACTCATTTTCCCACTGTGGGACGTGGAGACCGGTTCTTCGGATGAGACCGTATAAACCGAGGTCCCGTGTCGCAGTATGTGCTGGCACGAAAAAGATCCCTCACTGCTCAATGGCCGTAAGTGTCGAGTATAGGACAAAATTTGCAGCTCTCCATCGGCAAGTGGTGGCGTCTCCATATGAGAGAAAATTCTCGAGAGGGACGTTAAACAACATACAAACAAACAAACAAACAAAACGAACTCATTTTTAAGACTCTTACATACAACTTAATTATATCTAATTTATGCATTATTGCAGCCCAGATAAATATTATAAAGATCCAGAATGGATAAAAAGTCAGAGATATGATAGATTTTTTTTTTCTTTCTGACTTCATGTATATATAGATCAAAATTTGAATACAACTTTTATCTTTCACTGTAAATTGACCTCGTCTTACTTCTTTTGGTTCTCTATCGACAAATTTGTACTTATAAATACATGTACTTCATCCAAATTGGGTCAATAACATGTTCCACAAATTTCGTTTATATCTAATTTTCTGGACGCCCTGTCCATTCCTCATGACATAGGAAAATTCAAACAGTCAGGTGAAAACAAAGCAAATGAAAACAAAAACTTCTATAATGTAGAACTACAACAACGCTTTTAAGCCCTATTTATTTACAGTTTTACATTTTGAATTTCGATGTTGTAAACTTATTGATTTGAAATGAATTTGGACCACAGTCTAGTCTGCTGTGGTGATGTGTGATTTAAATAAACGATCGAACTATTTATCGCTAATTAATTGCTACAAAATAGTAAACCGTTTAACGTTGTACATAGTGTTCTTTCAAACATAGTGCTTTGCTTCACTGTACATCATATTCAAATTTTAGCAGTCTTTTTTTTTTTACTAGTATTGGCTATGAAGGAGAAATTTAAGCATCATATTCATATGATTGTGTAAATCATATCAATTATAGATTTTAAAATCTCTGACGGCCCCTTCACATTTTTAAAAGATTTAAAATCACAAAAAAAAAAACAGTCAGACTCAACAAACAAGTACTCTGAGGTTGATGTTAATAATATGCCATAGTTCCTCTTTCACAATATCTATGTAGTCTTTGAAGGCCATGTCTTCCAACAGTATGTTGGAATTTTCCCGTTATTTCCCGATCATGACAAGGAGCACAAGGCGGGTGTGACCGGTTGGCAGGGGATGCTCACTCCTCCATGGCACCTGATCCCACCTCTGATGTCTTAGAGGTCCGTGTTTGCTCTGCTCCTATTTTGTAATGTTTAATGGACTTTTGAGCTCGAATACTGTTCGTTTTCTCCACATATTTCATCATACAATTTGCGTTTCTATTGTCTTATGTACATGTGTTTATAGAGCTGTATAATGGATATTTTGGAGGAAAAAACCTCAAGCATTTTTATCCTAATCGGCAGTTAACAATGAGCTGTATATCGTAACAGAAACATGAAAGGGGAGGCGATAAAGGGGTCCTTTAGATGGTCATTCTAGTTCAATATATAGTTCATCTTTATTAACTTTTGTCGAAGATGACCGTGAAATAAGATATATAAAGTGTATACTGAACAGCAGCTACATATTGTATATTTTTGGGATGCTTTTCAGTCTCATCTTATTATTATGCTAGAAGAAATTCAAATTCTGAATCTGATGAATATGTTAGTAGTTTCATGTACATATAAATTATGTATAACAACTTCTAGATCAAAGACAGGGCAAAACACTGTAGTTGAGGGTCAATATTCTACATGGTTAATTTTCAACCTCTTTTATGTCATAATTGGCAAAAATATAAATTACAAAGATGTTGAAAATGACCCCAGGTATGGATTCCATGACTTTTGGACTCAATTTTCAATGGAGGAAAAGAACCACCTGTTCAATATTCAAAGTTCAAGTGCACTTCTTAAGATACGGGTACGAGTAATATTTATTGTTTTATTTGCCATCCACGTTTCAAGTTTTGAAATATTTATGCAGTAACAAAAGGAATATCGTCGTCTTCTATTCAACCAGACTCCTTTCTATGAAATTTACGTACCTGTAGAAAGACAGATTATTAAGGTTTTAATTTGGTCTTTTAAAATTTTATCAGTAAAGATTAAGAAAAATGTCATTTACTTCCTTGGCAAACTGTAATCATTTTTATCTGTAGAAATATTTCATAAATTTGCTTTCAAACGGAGAACGGAAAGTTTTGTTTTCAATAGTGATAATTTTGTATATTGAAGCACTTTAACACTTACTTGGACAAGCATCCTGATTGCAGATGTTTGCTTCAAATAAATGCCCATTACAGTCTTTGCCACCATACTGAGGGGCAATACATGTCCGCGATCTCACCTGGGATCCGCCTCCACAGGTGGCGGTACATGGTGTCCAATTCCCCCAGGGGGTTAAAGTACCATCCACTAAAGTTCATTTAGCAATGCTATGAAAGCCTCGAAATGAACGTTAGAAAATATAAGAAAGAACAGTCTTAGGAACTTAGGAATTCCTTTTAGGCATCTGATCCCACTTCCGGTGTTTCCAGGTTCCGTATTTTTGTCCTGTTCACGATTAATCTTTACACGATTTTAGAAAATGTTCACTGTTCGATATCTTCACTTTTTTCATAAAAGGGACATATTCAAAATTACAATTAACGATGTCATATTCTTGCTAATTTTGATTCTTTTTAATCTTTCATTTTTCTTTTTGTTGAGCACCATAAGAGTATACCTGAAATTAAATACCTGGACAATGAAGTGCTCCACAGGGCTGTATTTGTGTGGTCTCTCCATTGCATGTAGCACCAGCTTGACAGCTTCGAATTCTGATTTTCAAACCCTGGCATGAAGCAGTGCATGGTCCCCAAGCTTGCCATTCACTGAAATGTTCATCGACTGAAGATAAATAAAAAGTATCAGTTGGCATTTTTAAATGCAAATTCTGGAATCTTAACAAATCTTTTCCGGAATCATTTTGCAGAATCCTTATTCCGATTAAAAATTTAATGGAGATTTTTTTTTCTATTTATATTAAATTGAAGCATTTGTTGGAACTGATATTATAGATTGCTTTTAAATAAATACAAAATATTAGACAAAATTTTAATGGATGTCGGATAAACAACCGTAAAAAAAAAACAATAAATGGATGTTAAAAACAAATAAATTTTATAAATTTGAAACGTCACTTTACTTCCTCGTATTTACTGATATAATATTTTTAAATAGTCAATTAAAGTATACCTGCAGTTGTTGTTGGCGATGTCGTCGTAGTTGTTACCGGTGTAGTCGTCGTCGTCGTCTGTTTAGTTGTTGTCGGCTTAGTCGTCGTCGTTGTTGTTGTTGTCGGCATTGCAGTTGTTGTATCTAAAATATAATCGACTCATTATAATGAATTTGATCTATAAGTATTCATTTAGCGAATGCTAATTTTCCTTTTAAAACACTTAGAAAAAGAGAGGAGATCAATATCCATTTCTTTTATGAATTCAAACTTACAGAATTTTTTTTTTATAAAAAAGTTGAAAGAAAAATTAATACAATATTTGTTAGGATTAGTTGTTTCACTTTTGGAACTATTTTGTTATGAAAATGTATTGAATAGTGCATTCTCATTTTCTATATTTATTTTTTTTTTCACATCAATATTCAATTAAGACCTTTAAAAAAAAAAAAAAAAAAAAAAAAAAAAAAAAAACACTCACCAACACAATAACAGCTTGAGCTATAACACAACGGTGTCTGATCTGATGGGCAGTGTTCTGTTCTACAGTCATGGTCTGAATGACATGAGGTAGCTTTACCTGCCCAATTAAATGTAAATCTATTATAATTACTAATATTATATCTGAAAATTTTCAGAGAGTACATGTGTAATTCCAAAGAAAAACATATAATATTATATCGTTAAATTCTTCAAATTTTCAAAAATAGTGACCTTCTCTTTAAGCGATTATAAAACCAACAGGGATAAACTGAGGTCATCTAATCTTTTGGTCTAATTATAGTTCTATTTTTAAATCAACTATTGATCTTGAAATCCTCACAGTTAATTTTTATAATAATTTTCAAGAAAAAGAATTATAGAACGACCAATCCTGGAAATACCCTCTGGAACACCCTGTGCCATCTGGCAACCTTGCCACCGATTGATAAAATTTGATATATAAAAAATCAAATTAACTCACGTGTACATGAACAAACGGATTGCAAGCATTCTACAGAGTACGGAGAAGAACACATATCATTAGCACACGTTTCATGATGATGCCCACGGCGTCGGTATCTTGCGTGACATGCCGAATGAGGATATTCCACGTCTGAATTGAACATTATATAATTTAGTTTAATAAAAAAGATTAACATTGGTAAATCAAAATTATAAAAGATGTCATGAAAGAGTTTTAAATTTTACGAATCTGGAAAAGTCAGAAAAGTTTTCTTCTCATTTAAAAATCATCCCAGATAATTGCAGAAATGACCAAAATAAAAAACGACATTCGAAACTTTTTTTAAATCTCAAACGAACAACTGTTACGACTTCATTTAAACTGTATTAAAGCGGATTATGCAAAAATCAGTGAGCTAGAGTTATTACTTATATAGCTAAAAGATGTTTAAAACATTAATTAAATAATATGTAACGTGCGAATATCAAAATAAGTTTACAGATGGAGATACAAAACAAATCTTACCGGACATACAGACACATTTCCCACTGTGACAGACTTTAGGCGCATGATGGTCGTGCCCACAGTGTATACCACTGCAGCTCCTATCACTGGTGCATTTTACATGATCGTGTGGTTCATCTGAAAGGAGGTTAATTATCTGGTTTTAAAAAATCCCTTTCGGACTTGAAAATGCACTTCGCCAGATTTACCAGTTACTGAAGCCGGACTATACCACTTATATATTAAAAGATATCTTTACGTACTTACGCAGACATCCACATTTGTTGCTAGCAGCATGACAAAACTGATGTTTTTCTGCCCCACATTCTCCTATATTACAATCAGCATCTCTAGTACAGTACCCGATTCTTCCTAAAAGAAATCAGTTAACTGTATTAGTCTACAATCTGTATACTTGTATCTTGTACTTGTATTTTTTATCTAAAAATTTGAAGTTGCTGATCTATTCAGTGGACTTTTTTTCAATTTTAAGATGAAACATCAATTCACTAGTTTCATATTTATTAAATTTTCATTTCACGATTCGAAACTTCAGGGAAAAAAGTTGAAGAACCCAAAATTAAAACAAAAGCAATATAACTTTAATGTGCTCTACTTTAAGATATTCAATTAATAAAAGCAAAACGTTTAAACGTTTTGGCTAAGGAAAAAGCGCCCCGTTGAATGATGATATGATAATGAATATATTCAGGATTTTCAAGTATAACTAATACTTTATAACAAAAATATGGAGGTCCCAATACAACTCATATTCTAAAAAAAATATTTGATGACACGAGGGTATGCTCAGCTTAATGGTGCTCTTGTTTTGTCGTTATCTATGTTTTCATGATATATTTTTTTGATATAGAGGAACAAATAATGATAAATAGATAAAAAAAAATTATTACTAAATTTAAAACAGTATTTTATTGGATTAAGTGCTATCTGCATATCAGCATAAAACATTCATAAAATTCAACTCTTAAAGCATATTTTATATATATATATATATATATATATATATATATATATATATATATATATATATATATATATAACTAACATTTCTTCCAACTCACGTTTACAGATGCAATTTCCATTGACACAACTATGTTGTTCGACTTCGGAACATGGGATTTTTGAACATTCGGAGTCATGGTTACAACCAGATGAAATCAGAAATGTCTCTACTAAAAAAGAAGTTTAAATAGCAAGAAAATAAAGAGTATCGATATGAATTGTATTCAAAAATACTATTCTTATTGATTACGAGTATTACATGGGGGAAATGCTTGTTTATATTCAGGGAATCTGAAGAAAAAGAATTGGTTAACAATAATGATATATCAAAATCCTGTATAATGCACTATTACATGTGCAAATCTTATTTCTCTAGCTGTCCATTGACTTTGGTGATATAATCTTGAATTTAATTATGTCTTCAGAATATGATATTTAAATATTCTTTTCAACAAGTAAGCAATTAAATGTATGAAAAGAGAGAGGAGTGGTGGCTGGGGGTGTTACATGGAATACAGAGAGATAAATTTTGCTATACTAGTAATCATTCAAATAGAATCGGCATCGGATATTTAGTAGTTTTGACTCACGTGACCTTGCTGCTTATCTTAGCAAAATTTTTATTTCACATGTAAAGGTTATTTGTGCTAGTTTTATAAAATTTTGACATCATTTCTCGTATGACACTTGAATATTTATTCCGATACCTACTTCTTTAGTGTTCTGTAGTGTTTATTTTGAATTTATTTATGGCATTTGGATTATCATCTTTGCAAAATTATGACAATTAACTCAAAGTTTGAAATAACCTTTTATGAAAATACCAAAATCACAGTTTATTTACTACTTTAATGATGGAGTCGCACGTGGAACGTCACAGAGGAGTTCATCGAAATACGGATATGCATATTGCGAGATTGAAAATCCAGACCTTTTAATTATACGAAATTGCGAACTGTCTTTCCTTTTTATTACTAATCAAAAGAAATGATAAGAGGACAAAAATTAAAAGAATTAAAGTACCTGCAACTGGAAGAAAAAGAAACCCTATCCAAAACATTTTACATATGGTACATATCATAATGGCTGTCGTATTTCCTTTTATCAATTTCAGGCGAGAAAGGTCATTTTCGTTGTCACTGGGTTGTTCTTTGATAAGGTACAGCAATGCCTTTGCAAACAGTAAATACTTTTGAAGCATGATTTGTTTCATTATTTTTATTTTTTATATTTATAAAAAATTTAAAAAAAAAAAAAACAATTTCAAGATTTTATTTTTAAATTGAATGATCAGAAATATTTTATTCCACATCTTCTTTTGAAATAGACTATCGTTTTAGACTTCCTTTAGTTTTGCTACCTCAACGTTTATCTGCAACAAGAATGATTTATATTCTACTTATTATTTTATATTTGATATAGCATAAAACCTTCAAAAAGCTAGAAATATATGAATCATGATTTACAACTCGTAAATTTGCTTACCTTGTCATTGGTCATTTGCAAAATTATTTTGTTAAAAACATTCTGATTGTACACACAAGTACTCTGAAGTTGATATTAAAAAGATCTTGAGTTTTTGATTGACAATATCTATGTGGTTTTTGGAGGCCGGGTCTTCCAAAAATATGTTGGTATTCCCATGGGTACCAATTGCGCCCTGTTGTTAGCAGACCTATTTTGGTATTCATATGAAGCAGAATTTATTCAAAATCTTATCCTTGAGAAAAAGAAATCTCTTGTTGAGGTCTTCAGTTCGACATTTATATTTATCGACGACGTATTATCAATTAACAATAGTTATTTCCATTCATATGTCAAATGCCGACTGACGTTTTTCATACTAATTGTTAGGCCATTATTTACACACCGAATTGTCGACGGATTTTTCCGTCATTTCCCTATTATGACAAGGAGCACGCGGCGGGTGTGACCGGTCGACAGGGGATTCTAACTCCTCCATGGCACCTGATCCCACCTCTGATGTTTAAGAGGTCTGTGCTTGCTCTGCTCCAAAATTTGTATTGCTTAATGGAGCTGGAATACTGTTCGTTATATCCATATAGTTCATATATCCCAGTGAGCTTGAAATAAAAGATACAACAGAGTTTGACACATCTGTTTCATATTTGGATATTTTACTAGAAAAAGACATTAATGGTAATCTAACAACCAAGCTTTATGATAAACGTGAAG